TGACTGAAAACATAAACCAAACACGCCCCAAACAATACTGTGAGTGAGGAGAGGTAGAGACTGCAGTGTGCACATAATTGGTTTGTACTCTGTCTGGGAGCTGTAAGGAGTGTGTTGGATGCTATTTCCCTGGGCTATTAGGGCAAGCCTTCCTTACTCCAGTTCCAGGATCCTTTCTCGACAGTGTTCAGAGGCCCACAAGATCTGAGAGAGAAAAGGAAATGCATTTTTGTTCTCATGAGCCTAAAGCAAGCTCAGTGTACTCTTCAACTATGAGCCAAGCAAAATCTCTCCCTTTGCCCTGTAGGTCCTAGGGCAAATCCAATCCTGGGCTTATCTGTGAAGCAGGGCCACGTCTCCACTAAAGTGTAAAAGCAAGAACGTGTCTGTGACCATGTCCTGTGCCCGACTCAGTGGGAAAGAATCTAAGAAGATGCCTGGTACTGAAAGCTGAGTGAGGCAAAGTTAGCATTTTTTTAGAAGGATGTTTCACTTGACAGGACTCAGGGTATTTATGAGCACAGAGAGCTGATGCTGTGGGTGGGAGGCAGTTGGGCAAAGCCAGCGGCCATGTATGTCATTCCTACTCTTACACACGCACATGAGCAAACACACACACACAAACACACACTGGCACACACACATGCCCATGCACACACACAGACATACACATACACACACACATGCCTGTACATGCACACAGACATACACATACACACACAGACATGTACACACACAGACACACAGGCAAACACACACAGACATATACACACAAACACACACATACACACATAGACACACGCAAATATATACATATAGACATACACATGCACATACAGACAGTCACACATACATGCCTGTGCACACACACAGACATACACATACACACACACACACACACAGACACAGGCACACACACACATAGATGCACACATATACACATGCCCATGCATGCACACAGACATACACATACACACACAGACATGCACACATACAGACACACCCAGGCACATACACACATAGGTACACACAGGCAAACACACACAGACATACACACACATGCACACACAGACACACACACATAGACACAGACACACACAGGCACACATAGACACACACACAGGCACACACACACATAGATGCATACATACACACATGCCCATGCATGCACACAGACATTCACACACATAGACATACACACACAGACACATATATGCACACACAGAGAGACACACACATGCACACACAGGTGATCCATATATGTAGATGAGGTTCTCTTAGTTACAAATGATATTGAAACTAAGTTGGCCAAAGCTAGAAAGAGGTAGTTCTGGAATCCAAGGGAGAGAGAGCATAACCATCCTTGTCACAACTAAGGGATCGGGGTGGCTTCAGCCTCCTGCCAGCAGCCTGAGGACATGGTTCTCAGATTGCAACAAACTCGAATAACCAAGTTATTCTGTTAAAGCGTGGATTCTGCCTCAGCTGATCTCGGGTGGGGCCTGAGGCCCCGAATTCATTACCTGTCCGCTCCCACTGAGAGCCAAGGGTGCAGAGAACCGAACCGCCTTGCTCATTCCCCACCCACACCTCCCTGCCACACTGGCCTTGATGCCTTAAGGGGGAATGTGCTGCTCTGGAGGGGGTCAGCATCCTGCCCGCACTAAGTCTATGATTGCGAGTCAGGAGGGACAGGGCATGCAAACCACTTTCCTGGAAGCAGGTGGGTTACCAGCCGTGGCGCTAGGCCTGCTCGTGGCTTCTGTGCCTTTGCTCCTGCTCGGTTTACCACCGCCACCTACTCCCCACTCAGGGTCTTCCACAGCAACCCGAGGGTGGGTTGCTGACACGTGACTGATGGGTTCCCGAATCCCATTAGCCCATAGCCTAAAAGATGGACACTTTGGGAGTCGGGGGTGGCTCAGTCCTGAGTTTAGATCCCTGGGCCTCATGGAAAGAACTGGGCACAGCACTGGACACCTGTAGCAATGGGGGATGTCCTTCTGTATATATGGGGGGTTCTTTTGGTTTTGGGGGGAGGGTTGTTTTTTGGGGGGGTTGGGTTTTTTTGTTTTTGTTTTTGTTTTTGGTATTTTGAGACAGGGTTTCTTTGTATTGTTTTGGAGCCTGTCCTGGAACTCACTCTGTAGACCAGGTTGGCCTTGAACTCACAGAGATCCGCCTGCCTCTGCCTCCTGAGTGCTGGGATTAAAGGCGTGCACCACCGCCTCCTTGTTAAATGTTTCTCTTACTGGTTGATGAATAAAACACTGATTGGCCAGGCAGGAAGTATAGGCAGGGCTATGAGATGAGAATTCTGGGAAATGGAGGCAGACAGTCATCACGAGAGGGAAGAGAGGGCGCTCCCGGTGTTCTCCGGTAAGCCAAGACCACGTGGAAATACATAGATTAATAGAAATGCGTTAATAATTAAGACAGAGCTAGCTAATGAGAAGCCCAAGCTGCGGGTCAACAGTTTTATAACTACTAAAGCATCTGTGTGTTTATTTGGGGCTCAAGGGCATCAGGACCCTGCCGAGCCACAGGACTTTCATTCAACACCGTAATCCCAGTGCTCAGAAGGTAGAAACTCACCCATGAGTCTAGGCAGTACGTTCCAGGTTCAGCGAGAGACTTTAAACAAGGCCTGAGTATCGGTCTCTCAGTCTGCTAGAGGTGGAGCAATTTTTGTTGCCTTTGAAGAATTTCTTCAGGTGAGAAGACAGGTGCCTCCATTCTATCGCCTGGTTGCCGCCATTAAAAAACAGTTTTTTCTTCTATCTGATGCTCGTGAGTCCTTTCCTGCATGTGCCTGCACCACATGTACACGCAGTGATGGAGGAGGTCAGCAGAGGGAACTGGATCCCTCCAGTTTGTTTCTTTTGGGATGGGGTTTTTCTGTGTAACATCTCTGGCAGTCCTGGAATTTGCACTCTAGACCAGGCTGGCCTCGAACTCACAGAGATCCACCTGCCCCTGCCTCCCGAGTGCTGCCACCACCACCCGTCACCGCTTGTCTTGAAATATGTCTCTACTGCTTTCTGGAACCTGCCCAAGCCCCCCGGAACAGGATCTAACGAAAACGCAGGTCCTGAAGCAGCTACCCCACACGTTCTCAGACACAACTTCTTTTCCTAGGCCTAACCAGGGAAGGTGCCAGGGCTGGGGGCCTGCTGCTGTATACGCACAGGGCAGCAGGGTGACTGCAGGTGGGCAAGGGAAGTCGCCTATCCTAACAAGTGAGATGGGTGGCGCACGCCTTTAATCCCAGCACCCGGGAGGCAGAAGCAGGCGGATCTCTGTGAGTTCGGGGCTAGCCTGGTCTACAGAGCTACACAGAGAAAACCTGTCTCGAAAAATTAAAAACAAACTAAAAAGTGAGATGGGAGAGTCTCTGGTCTGACTCTTCAGCTTTGTACTTCATGACTGCATCTGACACGAGAATTCACTCATTCATTCACTCGTTCCTTCATTCACTCACTCATTCAGTATAGATATGAAGAATGTAACAAGCAGAGACCCTTTGACCCCTGCTGCTGAGGAGTCACAAAGAGGGGTCTTTATAACTCCCAGCTGCTCCAGTGAGTAACCGGCAGGCCCTCCAGCCACCCCCGGAGCAGATGACTAACTAGCATAAGCTCTACAGGGACACTACATGAGGTCCTGCTTATTTTAAGTGGCAGGTATGTATGTTCACGTGCACAGGCACATGGGTGCACACACACATATGCAGGCCGGAGGTCAACCTCGGGTGTTGTTCTTTGGGAGCACCACCTTCATCCAGAGCTTGCCACTTGGGAGCACCATCTTTGTCCACAGTTTTCCCATTGCTCTGAGGTTGACAGGCCAGAGAGCTCCAGCAATCCACCCGTCTCTGCCTCCCCAGTGCCAGGGTACCAACCACGAACCACCAGTGTTCCTGTGGGTACTTGAGATCAAGTTTAGGTCACCACATGTGCAAGACACGTTTTACCAACTTAGCCATCTTCCCAGGCCTGTTTCTCTGATCTTGTTGATTTTTTTTTTCCTCTGTGGCTTCTTAATTCCCTCCTTAGTTATTTTTTAGTTGGGAAATTGAAATTTAGAACTTCTCAGATAAGGGGTAGCTGATCTGAAACCAAAACTCAGCTCATCATCAATCCTTGCACGGGGCTGCCTCTCCTGCTCACGCCATTTCCGTTCTGGAGATGTGAGGGTGGGCGCAGCGTGACAAGTCAGGCTGTGTCAGCAGTGTCCCGATCCCTCTCCTATCAGGCAAGGCCGCACAGACAGGACCATGAGAGTAAACATACGTATGAATGAATAGTCAGCCATTGAGGAAGGGGCCTCCTTGCCTGCCCGATGGTCCAGTTCTGTCTTCGAAGGACCTTCTCTCTGTCCTTGCTGACAGTGAGGTTCCTTTAGTCCACTCCCAGATTCCTTCCAGAGGGGCAGCTTTGCATGAAGGGCCAGTCCACAGTCCAAGGGTCTTTGTTGGGGAGGAGGTAGGAGGGACATCTTTGTCAACAGGCAGAAGTGTGTCCTATTCAGAATGTTAGAGAACCTGTTTTGACACTTGAACCTGGGACTGCTGCGGTAATGTGACCTAACTGAAAAAGTCACAGACTCAAAGGGAGGCGCTGTGTCACCTACCCTGGAGTCACAAGCTGAGTATGGCTGCAGAGAGAAGATTCAAAGGTGATTTCATTCAGGATTAAAAAAAAAAAAAACATGCCTAGCCAGGTGGTGGCGCATGCCTTTAATCCCAGCACTCAGGAGGCAGAGGCAGGAGGATCTCTCTGAGTTCAAGGCCAGTCTTGGTCTACACAGAGAAACCCTGTCTGGGGGTAGAGGGGGAGGGGATGCCTAAAGGGGAAAGTGACTCTGGACACTAAGCATCTACTCTAAGAAAAGGAGCAGGGCCCAGTTAACTATGTCACAGTTCCTGGGAGAAAGGCAGGCATGTATAAATGAGCGTTTATGAGATGCAGGGAGGCTTCAGGGACAGAATCGGCTGTTCGTTATCTTTTTATCCATTTTATTGTCAGATAGTGAGTTCATTATATAAATCTTTCAAAATAATGAGATATTACAAGAATAGTTTACAAGGCAGCTCTGATTGCACAAATACTTGACACAGGAAACTGTCTTACAAATACGTAAGTTTTCTTACAAGAATACTTTAATAAAGAAAATAAGTCTCTATACGTCTTAAAGCAAATTTGATTCAGCTCCTTCTCCCGATCCTGCCGTCATTCAGGATTCTCTTTTAGAGTGTGTCTATCACGTTCCACAAAGCAAACTGCACCCAACGCTGCTTCCCTTTCAGCTACTCCTAAGACTCACAATGCTAAAGGGTTTTAGGCTTCCTTTTCTGATCTTCCCTGAAAGGAAAAGAAATCTGGCAATCAGGCTTGAAGAGGTAATTTTTAAAGCATTCCTTCCAGACTTGGATGAGGTTAGTCACCATTCTGAGTGACTGAGCTTTCAGGCTCTCACGTAGGCTAGACCAACTGATGGTTTAAACTTGCAATATCAAGTCAACAGTTGATACACCATAAAGGGAACCCTGGGAGCAAGGATGAAATACAAGGACCAGGAAAACAGTGGACAGTGATCAGAGAACGCTCTCAAATTCAAGGTCCCTCCCCAGCTTGGGTGTGGCAGGACAGTAAAAAAATACTGAAGAACTGAAAAAGGCTAATTATTTAGGCCAGTGGTGTCTCATCTCCAAAATGCCAGTGGATAGAGGATCTTAGACTCTGCATCCGCTGAACTCGGCAGGGGACATTCTTCTTAACGCTGTGGCTTTAATACACACTTGTATATAGCCACTTGCCTAGAGCACGTGATGCTGTATGCCAAGGGAACAGAACACTGACCACATTTGCCTGGAGATGGGACCCACCAGGGAGAACATGCGGCTCCCACGCTGTCCCTCCACTGTTACTGAAAAGCATACTGTCTTTACTTTCAGGTAGCATGAATTAACACCAAGAAATTAGAGTGGCAATCTGCAGTCCAGTTCCTGAGAGTCTGGGAATCATATCCAACACCCTTCTGAAGATTCCCAACCAGTCCCAGTCCCTCAAGCTTAGAAGCACGTGGGGACTAAGAGGGCGTGTCCCATTCACTTGTCCTCTTGGCGTTCCTTTTGGCTTTTCCCCCACCCCAGTGTAACAAACTGCCACCGGACCTTACCCAGTGTGTAGCAGAAGATGGAAATGAGTTGTTTTGCATTACCAGACACCTCCCATCACATTATCAAGGGTCACATTTGCATATAACTAAAGAGCCAAATAACATCTATTGCAGTGACTTGGCGAATTCCGCATAGTCGATGTATCCATCGTTGTTCTTGTCGTCGTCTCTCAAAACGCCATCTATTATGTTAATCAGTTCGTCTTCGCTCATTACTGGTGCCTGTTCGCTCCCCTCCTGTGGGAAAGACAAGAGACGATGAAGTGCGGAATGACAAAGGCGCATTAGAAAGGCCTGGAAGGGCCACCTAGTCTAAAAGCTGTCAAGGTAGTATGTGTGTGGCCCTTCTAGGAATCCAGACTCATGTCACATAGTTAACTTATGAAAATCCATGAGACACTGCATATGCCAGTTACAAGAAAGATGGGACCACTGGGTGTCAGTGGCACACACCTTTAATCCCAGCACTTGGGAGGCAGAGGCAGGCAGAGTTCGAGGCCAGCCTGGTCTATACAGTGAATTCCAGGACAGGCTCCCAAGAGAAAACCTGTCTCAAAACACAAACAAACTACAACAAAAAAGATGTAACCAAAACAGAGCTTTGCTTTTTCACTTTAAAAAATTACTGTTTACTCTTTTTTTGTTATGAAAGTCACATAGAGCCACTACAGAAAGTCAGGTCTGGGTTACAAAGAACTGTCAGCCAGAATCTATGACCTACACGCCCATCCTAAGAAAACTCTCACTGCCTGAGCACTCTGCACAAGTCACCTAAGAAAATGGAAACGGTGATATACTGGACATCTCAGGGTCAGGACAGGAGGAAGAAAACACTGCTGCAAAGCTGCCATTCCCATGTTGGTCACATCTCCCACATCCGTTTTCCACATCTCTGGCTGCCACCACCTTCTGTGCCAGGACTGCTGGGCCCCAATTCCTCCCCAGGGACCAGTCTCACCCCACTCTCCATCCCGAGCACACAGCACCCTCCCCAGCACACAGCATCCCACAGAGCACACAGCACCCTCCCGAGCACACAGCACCCTCCCGAGCACACAGCACCCTCCCCAGGCAGTGCTGCAGTGAAAACTTGCTTGAGCTCCCCACTGCCTATGGCACAGGGGCAGACATTAAACCTGGAGGCACAAGATCTTGGTGTCAATTCCCAGCTTTAGAAAAGGAGTGACAATGCCTGCCCTGCTCAGGGTGGCTCTGGAGCCCCAGCCATCTCTACTTGAAGGTGCCTTGGGACACCAGGGAGTACCACACAATACGGCACGATGCCAGCTACTCCCAAGCTGTCCCTTGGCCCTGGAGACACCATTCTCCTCAAATGAAATAACCTCTTTCTATGCTCTATGCTCTGCATCATGGACCTGGTCTGTCTTTTTAGGCCAGACCATCAAACTCCAGATGCAGCAGAAATGCTGAAGCCTTGGCCCAGAGTGGGCCTCCAGCTCAGCCTCTCCGGGAGAGGCGGGGAGAGACAGGCTAGCATTGAACGGGGAAAAACACAGCAGCACTGCTGAGATACAAGCGCAGCACCAGTCGCCGAGAATGGGCACCGCGCTCTCCCCGGACACCCCAAACTCAACTCCATGACCCACCTCCTTATGGACATGAGTGATGGCCGTGGACAGTTCTAAGCCGTCAAGCAGATCGTTGCCATCGTAATCATGCATTTTGAAATAGTGGAGCTGCAGTTCTTGAGGTGACATCTCTGTCTCTGGTTTGTCAATGACACCTTCTAGATGTTCCATGATATGCCTGAAAACCAACAGTCAGAACATGCCAGAACCTTAAGAATTCGGACAAGTAAAACTGTATCCACTTCAGAAACAGACCACATTCAAGGACAGGACACACAGGCAGGGCCACAAAGGAGCCAAACACGCAGGTCACTTGCTTCTGAGTGGGAATGAGGTGCCTGCCCTTTTTACTGGTAGAATTTGCTTACGACATTTTTGAGCTACCAATTTTAAAAGTAATTTTTAAAATAAAATTAGAGCAGACACGGTGGTGTATGCTTTTAATCCTATTCAGGAGGTTGAGGCAGATGGATGTCTGTGAGTTCAAGGCCCGGTCTACACAGCAAGTTCCAGAGCAGCCAGGGCTACATATGGAGACCCTGTCTCCAAAAAATGGACAACAAAGGATAATGTGTGACGTTTACTCACCAAGAAAGATTCAGTATCCGAATGTGTCACTAAAAGAATTTTGTCAGAATCAGGAAGCCATAATTATATTCTGGCTTCTGCTATTGCAGTAAAAGAGGAAGGCTAAATTCTGACAAACAATTCAGTGTATTTAGGCTTCAAATACTCTGCCTGTGCGATGATGGAGACAGAATACCTTACAAGTAGGAGTCCCAAGGAATAAGCACCATCCTTGAAAAACGTCCCAGAGCCCTATAAATTGGTACGAAGGGAAAGAAGGTAAGGGGGCCTGTGGGCTAGAACTGCAGATGATGGCAGCCCAGAACCCCAGCCCCGCCGAATACATACTCTTGGTCATGCACCGTGTTCTTGTCCAGGCCGACACTGCTGTGATGGATGCCAGCCGCAGGCTCGTGGGCATAAGAGGTCCAGAGCAGGACACACAGGAAGGGAACTCTGAGCAGCCACAGGGGTGTCATGGTTACCAGTACCTGGGGAGGTGGAAAACACACAAGATGAAGGCGGAGCCCTGGAGCTCGGGTTCCTTCCAGCAGCTGACAGTGTGACAGTGTACGCTCCAGGGAAACCTGGGAGGTGCCAAGGCCGCTCGCAAGAGCACTCAACCTGGCTCGGCTGAGGGACGGGAGATGGAGCTCGGCGGTAGGGCACTGGTCCAGGACGCACCAGGTCCTGGGTTCCATCCCCAGCACCACGGAACAAGTCCAGCTCTGCCACTAGCTCTCCTGGCTCCCATCACTCAGCCGGACAGTGGAGGCCCACAGTATTTCCTGATGGAACGTCAGAGGGCTGAGTGGAAGTAAAAAGGCCCGAGGACAGGTCCTTCATAAGCCGACAGCCCACAGAGAGACACGCTTCCTGTGGAGTGTAACAAAAGCAGAGCGGGGGACTTTCCAAAAAGAAAAACCCTTTGGGAGTTCTGAAAAAAATCTCCTTGGGTGAAGGAATATGGGAGGAGGCGGACCGACAGCAGGCACGCCGGGTCTGGGAATGACAGCAGCCGAGTGCGAGCAGGTGCGGGCAGCAAGCTCGCTCTCAGGGTAGGCAGCCAGAGCAGTGGCAAAGGTGAGCGGGCTGTACGTGCTGAGCCAAGAGGCTGACATTTCCTGAGAACGAGGGCTGAGATCAGAGGCTGGCTTGGCTGACGGCAGGACTGGAGACAGGGCCATGGGACCTGAGGGAAGGAAGCCATCAGGCTGGCCACAATAGCCTCAAAGCAATCCCACTTTGTCCACTTGCCAGGGTCCTGAGGGAGGGCTCATTAACTAAACATGGTGAGAGCATTGGAAAGGGAAGTTACAGAAAAATCCAGATTACATCTTTTTAAATTTTATTAATTTATTTTTTTCCAATCTCAGTCCCCCCTCCCGCCTCTCCTCCCACCCCCCTCCACACACTTCCCAACTGCTCCTTGGAGAGGAAGTCTACTAAGTCTGTCCCATCACCTCCTTGAGGCAGGACCAAGCTGCCCCTCACCCCCAGCCTAGGCTGAGCAAGGTATCAGATTACATCTTAATGAAGCTTGGAACAAGTGCACAACCAGACAATTCAGCCACCTGACAAGCCCCCTGGAGACCAGCTTAGGTCATCACAGGCACTGGCAGCCCGGCTTCAGTAACTGCTGCTTCAATGCAAAGTCTCGTCCTTTCTGGGCTCAGATTGGAAACTCACCCCAAAATGGAACCTCAAATACAGCCCTGAGTTCTCATCTCAACAGACAGAGCCAGTTCCGCCGTGACTAACAGTGGCAGGACCCCAAACCTTCAGCAGTAAAGATTAGTGTAATGTTCAGGTGCCCCCTTAACAGTCCATAAACTTGGAGGTCAGTTCTCAAGCTGCGCTGTCTCCTCCTTGTACCAGGGGCTGGGAAGCAGCGGCACTGTGGTCCTTCCCAGAGAGGACCTTGGAGAGTATACCAGTCTATGACATGTACAGAGATACCCCCATCTATTTTTCCCGCCTCCTACCATCTGTCCCTGCAAGGGAGCAGCAGCCACTGGGAGGGATAATGTTCAGAGTGCAAAAGACGTGGTGTCCAGCCTCACTACTGGGCAGTGACATCATGACATCTGTCATTCTAAGATTTCTAATATAGATTAAATAAAAAAGCAGGTGCCAAAAGTCTACCCATAATTCACTGTTGTAAAATATATATGCACACACAAGTACGCTATTTTAACGAAGACTGTTAAATTATGATTCTTTTTACTTTGCTGAGATTTCAAAAAATCTACTGTGACTAGGCATGGTGGTACAGCACTTAGGAAACAGTGGCAGATGACTCTCTGTGAATTGGAGGTCAGCCTGGTCTACACAGATGACTCTCTGTGAACTGGAGGTCAGCCTGGTCTACACAGATGATTCTCTGTGAACTGGAGGTCAGACTGGTCTATACAGATGACTCTCTGTGAACTGGAGGTCAGCCTGGTCTACGAAGTGAGTGTGTGGAGGCAGGGTTGGTTTCAGGTGTCTTACCTAATTGATCTCTATATATTGAGGCAGGCTCTCTCACTGAAGCCCAAGCTTGCTGACTCAGCTAGTTTAGCTAGCAAGCTTGCCTATCTCCCATCCCTGTCTCCCAAGCACTGAGATCATAGGCAGCTGTCACATATACCTGGCCTTAAGTGTGTGCTGGGTATTTGAGCACCAGTCTTCAAGATGCAAGCAGTTTATCCACTGGGCCATCTCCCCAGCCTGCAGCCAAGTTCTCACTTCAGTGTGCTTGAGGGCAGAACCTCAGGAAGCTGTCTACCATCAGAAAGTTGAGTTGGGTGATCACTCCTCGAATTCCTCTTCCCAGCATTCTCCTAGTCTGGTAGCTCCAACTATACTTCCTGCCTGGCTACATTCTGCCTGTCCATTGGCAGAAACAGCTTTATTCATCAACCAATAAGAGAAACATATATTCACAGCATACAGAAGGACATCCCCCAGCAAAGAACCACTGAGCATACTGTCACAGGTTCCAAACCAGAAGGAAGATCCCACAAGCACTATAATGACAAGATTGTCACCTGTCAAATTAAACTGCTCTCAGTCAAAGAAAACAGAGTGCTCCATTCTGTCCAAAGAACAAGTTGCATCATCTACACTCCCATTACTTAGTCCAAGGCCTTGGGTACATAGCTTAGAAGAGAAGCCCCAGGAGTTCCCAAGCTCACTGGCCTTTAGGAAATCGCATTGGCCAAGGTACAGAAAAATCCAGGTTTGAGGAGAGACTGATGGACTGACTCTCCTTTCCTAAAGACAGGCAGGTGTCCATGTGTAGTGTTGGGGAATATTAGTTTAAGATGTGTTACATTCATTTATGCTGTGGGATATTTAATGATGCAAAGATGTGTTGCGTTCTTTTTTGTTACATTTGTTTAACTCTATGAAGCTGTGTTACTTTGCCTGCCTAAAACACCTAATTGGTCTAATAAAGAGCTGAACCGCCAATAGCTGGGCTGGAGAGAGTCACAGGTGGGACTGGTGGGCAAAGAATAACTAGGAAGAGAAATCCAAGGAAGAGAGTGAGGAGTGAGAAAGAAGGATAGGATGCCAGGGGCCAGCCACCCACAGAGTAAGAAGGAAAGAAAGATCTACAGGATAAAGAAAGGTAAGAAGCCCAGTTAGAAAAGATGGCTGAGCATTCATAAGTAAGAATAAGTCTCTGTGTACATGTTTGGGAGCTGGGTGGCAGGCCCCCAAAGAGTGAAACACAAATCAAAAACTACAGTAGAGCCTTATTTTGATGTGCCTGCAGTCTTGGGAACATGACTATCCCATATTCTCCTATAAATGGTTCATTTATAGGTTAGCACAACTACTTACTTACTCTAACTAGTCCTGATTTTGGAGACCATCTTCAACGGAACGCACAGGTTTGGGAAACCCACACGCAGCAGTGAAGGAGGAAACAGACATTGCTGAGCCCAACAGATCAGCCTATTAACCCACGGAGGGGTGGCTCTACAGTCAGATCACCTCCCGTCCACAGGGGGCTTTGGAAAATGATCCATGCCTTAGCATCGGTCACCAGGAGCAGCACGAGTCTGGCAGGCCCATGCTGGCCTCCCTCAGAGCCTTTACTCCGACAAGGTTCCTCTCACTTCTCCGTCGGCCTCTGTGCCCACTGACTGCATCTGTCACTCCTCCTGGGTCTGGTTCAAATGTGAGCCAAAGACTCTGGCAGCTAACACCGCCTACTTCCTTGTCTGTTTTCTTCCTTCCTATTTTTCTTTTCCCCTTTCCAAAGTCCAGGACGTTGAGTACTGGACAATGCTGAGCTGGCCCGGGGACAGCACGGTTGGAATAAGATGAGATGTGGCACAGCAATGTGTCAGTCTTTATCTCTGACCTAAAGCTGAACTCTCCTTTGGAGCATTCCCACTCCTGAGAAGGCCCTGGTCCACCCTTCCCTCCAATTGTGCCATTACTCCTTATCAGTCAGTGAGTCCCCCCCCCCCAACAGCTGTTGGCAGCTTTTTCTAAGTCCAGGGGCTCTTAGTTAAGAATTTACATTCAAGCAGCCACATTTGACAACATCCAGATATCCTGTACCCAGAGTCAATGCCAAAGAAAACCGGCTGGTGCTTCTTACTTTGCCAACTCCAGGGTCTTGAAGTAAAAGTAACCAGCAAGCCTCCAGGTTAAAGAAACTCTTCATGGGCTGAGGTTGAAAACTTGTTCTGAACAGGCTGCGTTTCATAGTTTGATCTATCTGTTCACTGGGGGAAGCCAAAGAAAAGCCACGCTACCCTTACATGTTTAACCAACAGCCTAGTAACAGAAAGAGCAGAACTGCAAAGGGCTGTTGACTCAAGCTGACTCCTCTATCACAGATCAGTCTGATGCAAAACGGGGGCCACTAAAAGTCACCCAAAGGGTATCACATAACCCCCCACTCCCACTTGGAATGACGTGGGAAGCATGAAAAGAAATAATTCAACCAAAAAAGTGTGCCCCTCTTATAAGGAACATAGGGCAGTGAACACCTAAAGTCAGAAAAGACTTGGGGGGCCAATGGGAGCAGAATGATCAATCAATCGTGGAGGGAGGGGTCTTGAGTACAAAACGGTGAGTCACAGCAGGCTGTGCAAGAGCCTCAAAGGGCAGTGAGAATCCACAGAAAGCGAGGGAATGGGGCAGGGGCGGTGAGGCATATGGGATCTGTTTGAAGACCGCGTCTCTGGCTGCCCTGTATTGGATGAACTGAAGAGGCTCGGGACGTATTCAAAGGAGCAGAAAGGGGGAGCTGAATCGCCTGGGGCAGAAAGGTGTCTGGGAAAACGAGAGTATCTGAGGGTTCGATGTATCTGAGGGGAGCAGGTGAGAATGACGCCCAGGCCTCTGGTTTGGCCATCTGTGTGGACGGAGGTGCCAGGCTCCGGAGAGGGAAAACAAGAAAAACGAGCATGCCTTGTCTTTCCAACCGCCCAGGCTCAGGCTAGCCAACCCCACCGGGACAGCAGGACCTGTGGGTCTGCTCCAGGAAGAGGGGGCAGCCGGGGGCAGCCGGAGTAACGCCCGAGGCCCGCGTGCTTCCAGGGCAGCCGGAGTGGACTGGACATTGACCCCGGCTGGCCTGGTCCTGATGCCCACCCCCTCCCCCAGGGCCGATCGCGGGGCTCAGCCCGGCAGACAAGTCTGGCCGCGAAGCCCCATCGGAAGACAGGCGGCTGCCGAGGACCACAGGTCCCGCTGCGCCTGGGTGGTCTCTGCCCTCCACCCCGCCGCTCCGGCCTCCCATCCTGAGCCTCAGACCCCGGAATCGCCCGCCGACCTCTGCCCTGAGAGTCAGGCTTCCCGCCCGCGGGTTCGCTCACCCTGACAATCGCCGAAGCAAGCGGTCGCGAAGCACTCCAGCATGAACCTTGCCAGCTACCGTCCGCCGGACGCTTATTCTCGGCCCGCCGGACCCGCCCCCCGCCAGGCCGCGCACGCGCACCGCCTCCCACCCGCCCACCGGGACCGTCGGTCACGCCCCCTGGGCGGTCCGCTCCGCTGAGTCCACGTGTCCTCCGTCGCTGGCCCGACGGGACCCGCCTCCTAAGGGCCGGCCACACCCTGCTGCTCCGGCCACCGGGAGCCCCAGCGGCGAGCTAGTTGCTAGGCAACCCCGGAAGCCCCGGGCCGTGGCTCGACGTGTGCTGTGGGCTGCAGGATCCGGATGGGGCGGGCTGCAGAGCTGACCAGCCCCGCCTTCTCTGTCCTTTGGCGGATCTCTTGGTTCCTCCGGTGTAAAGGGAGTAGAACCCCAAATTCCTGTCCGAATTGAAACAGGGGGAAGAAGCCGGTGCTCGCCCAGGGCCCTGCGGTTTCCCAAATTGGCCTACTTCCGTTATCTCTTTGCTCCATTCCTCAGGCAGCATCAGCACCTATCCGCTCTCGAGCTTCGTCCAGACTTTATGGACGACCCAGCCTCACAAGTTTCCTAACGTCGTGTGTTTTTATCATCTGTATTTTCAAAAGCGATCCTGCCGTTCGGTGAATGTGTATAGACCAGATGGACGTACCAGCTTAGGACTGTACGTTTTAAAATTCTCCTCCCGTTTGTATCCATAAAGATAAATAATCGTTTTTTTTTTCAGATGCGCCTATATCAAAAGAGAGTAACTGGAGAGATCATATCAAAGCCGGACACACACACACACACACACACACACACACACACACACACACACACACACACACACACACGCTTCCTTAAGGCTTGGAAAATTGGCCAACAGTACTGTCTTTGTCTTGCCTTCCCTCTTTTATCCAAGATTAGAATTTCAACATTATCCCATAGGGAGCAAAAAAGTCCCAGAGTCCCTAAGGAGATTAGCACAACATTCCATCTCATTTTGAAGCTTAGATTAATCCAGTGCATGCCGGTACCCAGCACCTGCGGTGAATCCATCCATCGGTTTGTTCATTAGATCCACAGCAGTTGAGTAGCTAGCTTCTACCTATGAGGCACTGTCCGGGGAGCTACAAATACAGGTAACTTATAGGACCTTTTTTAAGACACTCAATAACTGGTAACTGTGTCCGTGGTCTATTTAACCAATACTTCCATTTTTTTCTTTTTTTGGGGGGGGAGATACGATTTCATGTAGCTCAGGCTGACCTCGAACTTACTATGTAGGTAAGGGTAGCCTGTAACTCCTGGTCCTCCTCCCTCCACTCCCAGACTTTTATTTATTTATTTTTTCCATAGGCATTTGCTACCAAGCCAGGCATGTCACTTTTTCTGTGGATGCTATCTTTCGTCATCTCTCTACCTGATCACTCTTAACAGCGTAGAAGCTTGTCTTCCGGCTCTTTTCCAGGGTGCTATTGAAATGGCAACCCCCAAGCCGGGCGTTGGTGGCGCACGCCTTTAATCCCAGCACTCGGGAGGCAGAGGCAGGCGGATCTCTGTGAGTTCGAGGCCAGCCTGGTCTATAGAGCGAGTTCCAGGACAGCCTCCAAAGCCACAGAGAAACCCTGTCTCGAAAAACCGAAAAAAAGAAAAAAAGAAAAAAAAAGAAATGGCAACCCCCCCGCAAAGCCAGTGGTCTCTTCCAGCTGGCCAGCTTTCTCAACACTTGAAGCTTTTTGTGTTCTGACACCTGTGCTCTTTGTTCTAGCTTGCTGGTTGTTCCTTCTCGGCTGTCCTGGCTTCATGTCCTCTGTTCAGCGTACAAATAAAAGTGTGCCAGGGTCCTGAGTGCCCCTCTCTAGTGACACAATGTGATGTCATCGAGTCCTGTGCTTGAAAACCCGGTTGCATGGAGATAAACTCCTGAAAAGGTTTTTGTATGCGTATATGTGATGTATTTGTATGTGTCCATGTAGGTGTGTCTGTGTTTATGTGTGGATGCCATAGATCTTCATTGAATACCTTCCTCTGTCCCTCTTCTCATGTTTTGAGACTGGGTCTCTCAATGAACCTGGAGTTCATCAATTGGACAAGGCTAGATGACCAGCCAGTGAGCTCCAAGAATCCTATTATCTCTGCACCTCCCTCCCCCAGCACTGGGATGACAGACACTTTCAACCCTTCCAGGCATTTTTATGGGTGCCTGTGGTGCAAGCTCAGGTCCTCTTGCTTATAATGCAGTACTTTCCCAATTAAGCCATCTTTTCCATTTGTTTATCATTTTTATTTTTCTGGTATTTTTTGGTTTGCTTGTTTGTTTTTTATTTCTTGAGACAGGATTTCTCTGTGTAACCCTGGCTGTCCTGGAACTCACTCTGTAGATCAGGCTGGCTTTGAACTTGCAGAAATCCACCTGCCTCTGCGATTAAAGGCTTGCGCCACCACCTCCAGGTTCTTTATCGGTTTTGGTTGCTCTAAATAACTGCCTCCTTTTCATTTCCATATGAATGTGTAACAGGTATCTCAAGCTTAACCAACCCTTCCAAAATCTTGACCTTCCTCCTCAAACTTGTGTACCTCAGTCTTGTTTGTTGTAGCTATATCACTGATAATTCGTTTGCTTATTCGAGTTAGAATTCTTGGAAGTCTTCACGACTCCATAACCTTTGTCTAAAATCTTTCAGCGATCTCTTTGTGTTATCAAAACATAAGACTTTAAGACACATTTACACCTCTTTCTTCTTCCTTCGGTTCTATTCCAAGGATCCATCCTCCACTATGGGAGCCCCAGAGACGGATTCCCAGTTTACCATCTGTTTGGATCCATTCTTGCCCAAGTTTGGTCCACAGGTGAGAAGCCACCTCTGTGATTTTGAGGTGGCTGTTGTGTAACTTGTGACCAATCCGATAAGATGAAGGGAACTGATGGCAAAAGGGTCTCTCCATCCCAAACTGGAAAGTTGGTGGACCTGTTTTAACAGTAGTGACACTGCCAACTAACTGTCAGTTACTGGACCTCGAGCACAGTCCACATGGCAAACAGCTGTATTCTAAGAGGGCTGTCTAGAATATTTGTGAATACTGGCCTTTGTTAGTGGCTTTCTACAAAACCCTTCAAAGGAATGGCAAATCTAGGTTAGAAATGGTTGGATTTGAAAGCACAGATTTAAGAGGACCTTGGTCTGCAGCCTACTAACTGACCTGGCCAATAGCTCCATGAGCTGGAGCCTTGCAGTGGGTTTCAATGACCCATTTCCTTTGTGTGCTTAAGTTCCAACCAGCACAAGTGGAGAAAGAGAAGAAAAAAGAAACGTCATTATGGGAAAAGACAAGACGAGGGCCCCAAGTAGCAAGCAGATAGCAAGTAGGTGGCATCTCCTTTCTCAAGTATGACATTGGTGGCCTGAAAATTATGTTTTGTCTGTGGAAAGGATTCCAGGGTGGGTGACAATGGGGTGAAAATAATGCTTCAATTTATTATTCGTAGTGTTGCCATGAGTGTTCAAAACTATATGAATGTATGATTGGTGGACACGGGAAGAATTCAGTTCAAAGCAATTACAGATAATGTTGCTTTAAACACGTATCTTATTGCACATCTGTTCACATTTGGAAACAGTAAGTTGGAATATGTAATGCAAAGCAATTTAAGGACTTTTCTAGGTGAGCTGTTTCACACTGGCTAGACATCTAATAAATTGTTGACTCATGTGGCCTTCAAATATCAAGCCCAGTCAACAACCTACTGCTTTGCTCAACCGTCTCACAACCCCCAGAGCCCAGAATTCTCTCCAACCAAGAGTGGAATGCAACCAAACAGTGTTCTGTAGAATTAGAAGACAGATTAAGGGTGGGGCTTCTACATTCTTCCACTAAGAACCTACTCCATTGCCACCCAAGAAACCCTGCTATTTCTGTTTGGCAGCACTGGATGTGAATTGCTGACTGGCTACACCGTGTTTTCCATTCCTGTTTTTCTTGAATGGAAACTCTTGCTGTCTGTTCACACTGCAGATTGAATGTGTTTTCCTGCAGACTTATTTACGTTGTGTGTATATACAAAGAAAAGCATGTGAATAGAAAAGAAATGTCCTAATGGGGCTGAGGAGGCGGCTCAGTGGTTAAGAACACATGTTCTTACAGAAGACCTATATTCAGTTCCCAGCACCCACATGGGGGCTCACAACCATCTGTACCTGCAGTTCTGGGGAGATCTGATGCTGCCCTCTGGTCTCCACTGGCACAATGTGATGCACAAAAATACATGCATTCAAAACACCCATACACGCCGGGCGTTGGTGGCACACGCATTTAATCCCAGCACTCGGGAGGCAGAGGCAGGCGGATCTCTGTGAGTTCGAGGCCAGCCTGGTCTACAAAGTGAGTTCCAGGACAGCCTCCAAAGCTACAGAGAAACCCTGTCTCAAAAAACAAAAAAAAAACAAAAACAAAAAACAAATCACCCATACACAAAAAATTATAGGAAAGTGTTCAACTCAGTGAGGTTTCAGAGAATACAGTCATATAACTAGTACCCAGAACAAGAATTAGAACATTACCAACATTCCAGGCATGGTGGCACAGGCCTTTAGCCCAGCACTCTGGAGACAGAGATAGGCAGTTTGAGGCCAGCCTGGTCTACAGAGCAAGTTCCAGGATAGCCAGGGCTATACAGAGAAACCCTCTCTGGGAAAAAAACAAAAAAACAAAAAAAAACAAAAACGCCAATAGCACCCTCTCCATAGGTACCTGTTATCCTGGATCTAACAATACAGGATGGTCTTACTAGGTTTTATCTCTTATATAAACAGAATCACACACTACATACTCTTGTCTATGGTGCCTTTGCTCAGCATTTTTATTTTAAAGATACAGTCTTGCTATGTAGTTCCAGGCTGGCCTGGAACTCATTATATAGACCAAGCAACCTCTAACAGACCCACCAGCCTCTGCCTCACAAGTGCTGGGATTAAAGGATTAAAGGTCCAATATGCTCAAATATTCAGCACAGTTTTGAGATCCATTCTTGTTGGTGTAGTTCAAAATCCTCCAGCCTCATTTCCGAATCCTGTCC